TGGACCAGATGATGCCAAGGAGATCATGAGACACAGTTTCTTCAGCACTGTGGACTGGCAGGACGTCTACGACAAGAAGGTAAAAACAACTGTCAGGTTGGCGTCCGTAGTGATTTTCTCAATAAGGTTTGGTCTGTGGGCTAAAACCTGTTGTCGTCCCTGTGGACTTTGGTGTGTGAGCTACAATCATAGATTTTCTCTATGGACTTTAGTAAAAGATAGTGAGTCACTTCAAGGGAGGATCCATAAAGTTTGAATGTCTAAATTGATTGGTCTTCCTGTTTGTTACAGCTGGCCCCGCCCTTTCAGCCGCAGGTGTCATCAGAGACAGACACGCGCTACTTTGACGAGGAGTTTACAGCACAGACCATCACCATCACCCCGCCTGAAAAATGTACGACAACTGCGCTGAAGATTCTGACTTTACTCTTAGATTAAAGCTGGAGATCTGAAATATTTCTTTAAATGCTCAGATATAAATCAAGAATTTCTCAAGATTTTCTCTCAAAGTGTTTTAAAGTTTCAGAACTTTTTAACATTTTCAGAACTTTAAGATTAGAATAGAATTTTATGATTAAAGTTAGAGTTTCGTTGACTAATCCAGTAATAATTGGCTATAAAATAACATTTGCATTACACTGTATTAAAAAGCCTAAATGTTTAATTAAAATGTCATCTCAAGGGTAAACGTAAACCATAAAGATTGCCTCAATAATGATTTAAAGTTAGCCAAATAAATTCAAATATTGGCAAAACAATGTCAGCTGAAGGTTTAGCCCAAAAAAATGATCTCACAGGAGGCTAATTGTTTTGTTTTGTGTTTGTGTGTCTGCGTGCAGTCGATGAAGATGGGATGGATGCAGCAGACAACGAACGACGGCCTCATTTCCCACAGTTCTCGTACTCGGCCAGTGGACGGGAGTGAGGTTGGCTCCGCCCTAAGGGAAACACGTAGCCATTTTAGAAAAACCAAGACAAAGGCAGCAGTCTCCCCTCCTTCTCTGCAGCGTCTCTGCAGATGAGGAAAGTGTTTGACGTCGGGACTTTAAAGAGGTTTTTGCACAGTGGGCCGGATCGGGCCAGACTCCGCTCCACACTAAAAAACACGTCTCCTTCATTCTCCATGCTGAAGGCAACGTTTGGGTTATTTATTTTCCTCTAGACAGTATTACCTTGTTTGTTTTTGTTTGTTTGTTGTTTTCCTTTTGTGTCCTTTGACTTTTTGCACCTGGTTAAAAAAAGGTGGGTTTTTTTGTTTTTTTTCTGGGAACAAAAACCAAAAATGTTGCCTTACATGTGCAGATGTTTTCTCTCACAGCGACAGGGTCTTTGTTGGTCCTTTTAATTTTTTTGTGTGCGTGTCGGGGGGGACAAATAGGTGGGAGGGGTTTCACATGTCCTACAGTTGGTCTAGCCCACTATTGGGCCGCACAACCTTTTTCACTTGGCCAACATTGAGCGGGATTTGTGGGCTGAACTGTGACTACATTCTGAGTCCTTATTCTGGCCCAGATTCTGATGACAAAACATGGGCCATTTCCAGGGTTTGGAAACCACTAGTTTCTGGGCCATAATATGGACAACAACAGTGGGCCAGAAGTGGTGCCAGAAAACTACCAGGTTTGACTTATGTGATCGCGATATATACTGGATATCAGATGTGGGTTTCTGAACAGCACTCTGGGTCACGTTTGGGTGTCAGAAACCTGACGGCATTGATTGAAGTTAGTGACGATCAGGCCATTCTTAGAACCACCTCCAGATCAACTCTAGTGGCTCTGCTTCAAGAGAGAAGAGGGTCCACTCTGTGGCCCACATATAGATAGCTGCTATGGGCCAAATCTGAAGCTGAGAGACTGTCATGTTCGGTTTAAGTTTCTGGACCACATTTTTAGTATCAGGAATTGCCTATATATGGTTGCCAGAAGTCATCCAACATTGGTTGAAGTTTATTGCCCACATTTTCAATATCAGCCCTGTGCCACATCTGTGGGTCAGTAAAATGCTGCTTTGTTTGGGGTTTATAGTTCATGAGGCTCTTCTTCATACCAGACACGGGCCACTAAGGGCCCTCACTATGATGACCAAGGGAAAGTAGATCATGTGGTCCATGAAGAGGCCAGGCCAACTCTGCTATGTGGGTGGGGTTGTGAGAAATGATGCACGTCTCGTGGTTCAACAACAACAACAACAACAAAAAATACTACTGGCTTAAAAACAGAGAAAATAAAACAGACAAGTGAGTGTCGCTCATTTCATCATCACGAGTATTCTTTTCTCACTTTGTATTTTTAAGATTTTTTTTTTGTTAATGGTTTATTCAAAACAAAAGGAAAAAAAGACAAAACCATGTCTGAAGTCACTGAGAAGAAGCCCGTTTTGCTGAGCAGGGTAGTTAACACTTAGCTAACGGTTTATGCTCCAAATAAAACTATCGACTAAATTGCTTCACTAACTCTGCCTTTGCTCAGCTAAATGTGTTTTAGCTCAGCTAACTGGGGTTAGGCTCAGCTAAACTGTTTTTTCCATTGAGCTCACCTTGTGAACTCGGCTAACTGCATTAATATTCATTTAAACACCTTTCCACTCAGCTTAATCTGTTTATGCATATCTAAATGTGTTTAGACTTAGCCAACTGTGGTTGTGCATAGATTTTTGCACTCAGCTAATCTTACAAACACTCTGCAAACTGCAGTAATGCTCTGCTTAATGCAATTATGCTGAGCTAAGCTTTGAGCTTTACCCCTAGGCTAACTGCTAACTGTGTGGCTCGACTACCAACAATAAAGTTTGATCCCTGCAGTCTGCTGTGTACAAGTTAGTTTGGTTTAAATTTAGCTAAACATGTTGGAACATAGCCAATTACTTTTAAGAAAACACAGTTAACTGAGTTCAGCCAACCTTCAGATAAACAAGATCAGCCAATGAAGTTTAAACGTGCTTACTAATGGTGAGTTACTAACTTTTCAGTTCAAGTTAACAGCATCAACGTGGTTGTTGGGTATGGTAAAAGTTGGCTCAACCTCAGTAATGTTAAAGGGGCGGGGCTTCAATTTGAGTTACAGTAGTTGTTGGGCTTCCTCTTAACTTCCTCTTTCACATGTGAGGTGTCACTAGAAGGTCAAAGGTCAGAGCCGAAAATTAAACTACTGAAAAGATGTTATTTATTAATTTTCTTTCAATTTTTTTTGTTTAACTGTATTCTTTTTTACAAATGATTATTTTCTCTGTTTAAAGCCCACGTTTGGTTTGTCAACAAGATGATAGAGGGGTTTTTTTTTTCTTTTTAAAACACTTTTCGATTCTCGTTTCTCTTGTTCTCTTGTTCCATTACATTTTCATTTTTGAGAATTATGACAATATTTGTGTTATTGAAATAGATTTTTTTAAATTTCCATTTCATTTTTTAGATTTTTTGTTTTTAGGCTTTTTATTATTTATTTTAGGGGAGCATATGTTGCTGATTTTTATTATATTTTTAATTTGTTTACATGTTTAACTACTCCTTTGGAACATTATGTTTTCTTTCAGTTGATTCCATTCTGATCTTAAATTAAATTTATTTTTTGTTTTGTGTGTTTTTCAAATTGATTTATTTTAATTACTTTTTATTGTGTTACTTCAACATGTTTATTCATTTCCATTCCATTTTTATTTGCCTACAAGTATGAGGGTATTAGTAAAATTATTTGATTATTTCTTTTTTTTTTTTTTTTAGATTTTAACAAAAACTGACAAGAGTCAAGGTCCACCTTCTTTTCAATAAAGAAGCGTACCCATCCATTATGACATGGCTAAAAGGCTACAACCCTCTGGTTGAAGATGATAACCAAACAAAAAGTTTGTTTCACTTTTTTAAAAACAAGGAACAAAATGTTGGTCTGAGACTTTTAATCCCATTTATTTAATTTATGGGTGGCAGTGCAGATTTCCTTACGTTTTAGTACGATAGTTGCTTTGTCAGTGTTTGATGAGTCTGTGACGGACCATGGAAACCAGACCATAAATTACATGGAGACAAGAGGAGCACATCCTTAAGACCGTGGAACTGATGAGGAACAGACCATTAGGAGCATGGGATATGTGTCATCTGAAGACTTACAGACAAAGAAACTCATCTTTTTGTGAGTCTGTCTTGTCCAGGGACAGGAAGTGTTGTGGGTGTGGTTTATTTTTATTTTGAATGAACAAGGTTACACTGGTTTATTTTCAATGAAATACAACATCTGTAAATGTTTTGGAAGAACAAAGTCTGCAGATTAGGATTTTAATAAAAGGGAACAGTGACAACCTGAGGATGTGTTAAAGGCACAGCTTCCCACTTTTTCACTTGAATTTATTCTGATAAAATCAAAAGTTGTTTCAGTAGACTGAACCCGATGGACCATATGTGGTAATATGTCTTTGAATGTAATCTTATTGTGAATAGCTTTTTATCTTTATACGTGACATTTACAGATTTAAACTCAGACTAAAGTCCATAGAGGAAATCAGATATTTTATCTCACGGACCAAAATCCATAGAAAAAATCATGAATATTAGCTCACAGACCAAAGTCCTTAAAGGATATCAGTGATTTTAGTACACTGACCAAAGTCTGTAGAGTTATTTTGTTCACAGACCAAAACCCATAGACAAAAGAAGTCATTTTAGCTCACAGACGAACAAAGACAAACAAAGTGCTGTTTGGTCTAAAAAATATTGAATGTGCCATCACGATTACTCAGAAGTATTTTAGCCAGCAAAGTTGCAAAAATCAATTTAAACTTGGTGATGGAGGCATGTTTGAGGTGTTTGTGGTGATGAATGAGTGTTCACATACAACGAAACATTTTTTGTGCCTGTTAAAGTCAAAACTATTGTACATTTGGCCAAATACACCTCTTATAAGGTATATGTGTACAGGCATGTCGTGTTCCAGAAAATAGTGGAATAACTGAAGTTTCCTAAAAACTACAATATGGCGGCGCAAAGCTGACGGTCTGCAGGAAGTTGAAGGTCTGCAGGAAGTTGAAGGGGCAGGACTTGAGCTGTAGCCCCGCCACCTCAGGTAGTTGCTCGATGAGCATGATGGTCGTGTAACCCGTGGAGTCTGCTGTTGTGGCCCCAACTGTTGGTCGTGTGATGGTGCAGAGACGACGCAGCAGCGGAGGAATTTCAAACACAGGTAACAGAGACAAAGAGACGAAGTTTCCGCTGATGAGGCCCGACATTCCCAGTGCCGTCACCAACAAATGCACACACAGCTTTTGAACATATTACCGGCTAACAACATTAGCATTAGCTCCGGCTAACAACATTATCATTACCATCGAATCCCTGTCGCGCTGCGTTTGTTCTGCGTGAGAGAGTTTGTGTAGCTGCATTCCCTGTCAACTCTGAATTTAAAAGTAAAACTTAAGTTTTACCTCGTAACCACTGCACTGAGGCCAGACGTGCCTTAAGCTAAGTGGCTAGCATCTGTCAGCTGTCAGTGCCGACATGGATATTTCCTTTATTATCAATGTCGCCATAAAACACTGCCTATAAGAACTGGACAGAATGTCACGCAGATGTGAGATTATAAATATGACGCTGTCTAATCGACGACTGGACTGTCCAGTGAGAGACTGTCTGTGCTACTGGGACGTTGATCAAAAAGTGACATTCAGTTACACTACCAAATTCCGTGCACACACTCACTCATACCCATAGTATGAGTGAGTGTGTGCACTTGAATGAGTGACTGGTGTGACGTGTGTTGTTTTTGTATATGTTGAAATAGAAACCAAAATCAAATAGGTGAAATGCTGACAAGCAAAAACATTTAATATTATGCTATCTTCTGTGTTCCTCCGTGACCTATTTGTTATAGGGTGAAGTGGAGAGACTTGATCAAAAGGATCTTGGCAGTAGTGGTGTATTAAAGAAAAGAAAAGAGATCTAAAAGGAGAAGATCCTGTGTATTGGCTGAGCTACTGGGCATCACTTCTGGAGATGCATGACAGGGACTAGGTCTGGTACCACCAGAGAAGTCAACTTTTGACAGAGCAGTGTGGGTGAAAGGTTACTGTACAGCTAATCATTTGTCACTGTCTGAGAACCCATCTAGTTCATTTTGTAGCTTTTAACCTGTTCTACATGTTCTGTTCCTCTTTTTGTCTCAGTTGAAATAAATGTCAGCAGCCAGACTGACATGCATTGTTTATGGGAATGTAATTTTGTCGTCTATTGTCTCTAAAAGTGTATGATTCAAGGTGTTTGTGTTTTAAGAAGAAAAAGAAATTGTTAATTATATAAAATTGCAATACGTAAAAATGCAATTATCGAGAATCGTCATGCAATCGAAACGTGACCAAAGCATATTGCCGACCCCTACCTGGTAGTGTCCATGGTTCCTGTTAGCAGTCATGACAGAATATCTCTGTGTTCAGGAGATGTTTGTCTCTTCATGATGGCTCTATTCATTGGTTCTGTGCGTATTTTATGTATGTGTTCTTCCAGGTAGCCTCCTCGGAGGCGTGTCCCAATGCTATGGCCTCTAGCCACAGCTCCTCCCCAGTGCCTCATCTCCACGGTAGAGGCCAAGGTGGGACTTGTCACAAAGACCATGTTCCCTCCCCGCCTCGCCACAGGAACGTCCGTTCTCTGCCAGACGTATGTCCCAAGGAGCCCACAGGTGAAAAATAAATGTGCTGGTTAGTTTTCTTCTACTGAAACAGCACTGGCACTAAACAGTGTCAGAAATACAATAACAGTTGGCAATAAGCATCCAAAAACATCCATAAAATCAGCCAAAGTATGCAGCTGTGCCTGTGTTTCTTAGCTTTTTGGAAGTGTTGTCACAACTTCAAAATCCAAACAGCTAAGGGCCTGCTGTGCAACAGCTATAGGGTTGGAAGATATATCCATATGTTAGCAAATGTAGCCAAATGCTTAAGTTTTGAATTATAGTGGAAGTTAGCTCAGAAACAACTAAGTTAAATCGAGACAACAACAAAAACAAGCAAATAAGTAGATAATGATTCAAGTAAGTAAATTATTGAAACTCTGGCAGGGTGAAGAAGGTAGAGCGTTTTGATTTTAACTGGAGGATCTTGTAACGTTGGCCTGTTGCTCCCAAAGGTGAGGGGCGTCTGTGTGATGGCCCTTCCGTGGTGGCTGAACACGACAGGTGGACGGTGTATAACTCAAAGGTCAATCTTCCTGCCGCGCTTAATGACCCGCGGCTCTCCAAGCGGGAGTCGGACTTCTTCACTAAAACATGGGGGCTGGACTTCGCTGAGACGGAGGTCATGCCGTCCTTCTTCCTGCCCAACATCACACAGGAACATTTCACAGCGTACCTGCAGGAAACTGCTCAGGTAACAGCCACAGTATCCTCCTGATGTTTAGGCAGTCCTTTTAGAGTGCTGTAGAAGAGGGATCTTTGCAAATATATATATATATATATATTTTTTTATGTATATACACATTTATTTATTTATTTTACATTTGTATTACACTGGGCCTAGAGCTATGTATAAATATTACCATGTTATTCTACATTTACTGCTAGGATATTTAGATAGCACTCAGCTTCATATAGTCATGGGTTTATTTCAAAAAATAATTTTACCAATTTCCCCGCGACCCGGTAACGGATAAGCGGACGAGTATGAATTGATAGATAGATGGAATTTAACCAATTGTTAACCAAATATATTTCTACTTGGAGACAGCTTGTTGAATGATATTTTTTTTAAAGGACTACAATGTGAGAAGACAAAAATAAATATCTAAATGTAATGAATATTTTACCTTCACCACGGCATCGGTTCTAGTACATGTTCAGGTCAGGTTCACCTGACGGTGGTGGGGGTGGTGATGATGGTGATGAAGACATGATGATGAGGTCACATGTCCTGGAGATGGATAGCATTGTGTGGTTGTGTGAGGAATCCTGTCTGAGCTGTTCCTCCACTTTTCAGTCTTTTATCAAATGCACACAGGCTTTGATGGCACTGCTCTGCTGCTGCTCCTCCATCCATCCTAGCACTACCAACCCCAGCAGCCATTGGACACATATAGAGACTATTAAAGATAATAGTAAATACAGTCCAGATAATATAATTTTGTCAGTAAACAATTAACTTCAATCCCAATCTGGAGAACTGGGAAAAACCCAGAAGTTTTTTTTTTCAGATGGATACCATCTTTTCTTTTTTTGCTTTATTTGATTGTTGGTTTGATTGTTTAACTAGCTTGAAGACATTTTTCAGGTTCCTGTTGTATCCAAGCTTCTAGTCACCTTCAGTTCTTTTCTTTCTGACATGAAAGTCGTACCAGTCTATTTTTAGATTCAAGCTCCACCTGCGGCAGGAATTCTTTTAAAAACTGTTTCCTCCTTCAGGATTCAATCTCTCATTTACTCAGAGGCACAAGAAAATACATTCCTTTGGTGTAGCTGTAGCACCACCTTCAGTAGGTGGATTTCGAGCGAGTTACAGATTCAATTTTCTGCTGCGTCCTGACTCCATTCATCTGTTCTGTTTTTAAATTTCAGAGAGAAAAAATCCATGAACGCTGCAAAGCTATCTGTCCCAACAAAGAGGACTTGGATGCCATCTCCAGCATCACCACTAATCACGGTACCACATGATTATAAATATAAATCACACACACTCGGTGTCCAAAAAAGTGGTTCCACATAAGTCAGAACAACGTAGACTAAAAATGTAAACGTGTAATGTAATGTAAATGTAAACAAGTTCAGAATTGTTGATAAAAGCTATCCCAAGGATAGTGAGTTATGTTGAAACAAAATCATTACTAACTCGCAAGACTTAATTTAAGTAATCAAAGTAACTCTGGTTAATTGTTACTTCTGACTTTGCTTCCTGATAGAAAAATCCAGAGCTGAGCTGGATCAAGTCCCAAAGGTCAGAAGTTCACTCAGTTTGTCCTCTGTATCCATCTATCTATCTATCTATCTATCTATCTATCTATCTATCTATCTATCTATCTATCTATCTATCTATCTATCTATCTATCTATCTAGCTATCTATCTA